ATGTTTGATTAGTAATATGCATTGCTAAGAACTTCATTTGGACAACTTTAAAGATGATTTTCTAAATATTTAGATTTTTTTGCACCCTCAGATTCCAGATTTTCAAATATTGTCCGATCCTAACAAACCATACATCAATGGAAAGATTATTATGCATCAGCTTTCAGATGATGCATAAATCTCAATTTTGAAAAACTGACACTTAAGACTGGTTTTGTGCTTGTCTTTTTTTTTTAAATACCGCAATAAATACCGTATCGTGGACATCATATCGCGATATTATCGTGAGATTTTGATATCGTTGCATCCCTAGTAAACTCACACCATCACATCAGCGGATGGGTTTACCTGGTTAGTTTCCTCTTCTTCAGCGCCGTTTTGCTCCTGCGGGTGAAACACAGACAGACGTGTCGCTGAACTGAGATCAAACCTCATCAGAACACAACAAACTGCATCTCTGCTAATAAACACGCTTCTAATCCTACAAACTAAACATGCATTTCCAGGCCGACGGAGCTTCAGTGTCTGAAACCACAGATAATAACTCACACTCACTCATTCTGGAGCATTTAAAGCATTAATCAAGGGCTTTTATTAACTGTTCTACAGAAAAAATAAGTTGTAAGTTTTATTTATATATTAGTTTATAATATATATAATATCTATAATATATATATATATTAGTGTGGTCAAACGATTAATCGCATCCAAAATAAAAGCTTTTGTTTACATAATATGTGTGTGTACTGTGTATTTATTATGTATATATAAATACAAACACATGCATGTATATATTTAAGAAAAATATGTTATGTTTATATAATATATATATTGATATAAAATAAAAAATCTAATAATATAAATATATAAATGTATACACATGCAAATATTTTCAAAATATATACAGTATGTGTGTATATTTATAATTACATAATAAATAAACACAGTACACACACATATATCATGTAGACAAAAACTTTTATTTTGGATGCAATTAATCGTTTGACGGCACTAATATATATATATATATATATACTGTATATATACTGTATATATATATTATATCTTATATAATTTATATTTTATAAATTTATAATTTTTATGAACTCCATTATACTGAACGTTTTATTTATTATTTATAGAATATTTTTAATTTCTATATTAATTTCTATAATATATATTTTTAATAATAAATTATAGCCTTCCACATCACAGTAATCTCATGTTATAATTTTATAAACATTTAATAATTTAATATTTTTTAAATATAATCTTACATGCTTCTGTTTTTTATTGTATTAAATTTATTTTTCATTCTTTCTTTTTCTTTGAGGTTCTCCATAACCTTCCATATTATGATTTTATGATTTATTAAATTGTAATAACTGTACATTTTTAAGTATAATTTTAAATACTTAATATATACAATTTATGTTTTAAAGATTTTGTATTTTATTATTTATTTTTTATAACTGTATTTTATGCAAATTATATATATATATATAAATGTATTACTAATGCATTGTTAATGCATTTTCCAGTTCACGTCACTTACTGTATACATGATTTTTGTTTTTACATTTGCACAAACAGCGTAATGAGCTTATTTTCAGTGGAGACCGACGGCTGAGCTCGTATCAAACCTGGAATATCTAACGGAAGAAGAAGAACCAAGCAAATCGGCTCAAGCCTCTCGAGTGAAAATCTGCATTCAGTCCGACTCAGAATCGAAGCTCTGGAGCAAACATGCAGCCGTGAGAGCGAGCGCCATGCGTTAGTGTCATGCGTCGAGACGCTGTTAAACACAGACAAGAGCACAGATGCAGATCCGGCCTCTGATCCGTTACCCATAATGCACTGCAGCTATGTGGAGTCTGTGTGTGTTTGTCTGTCCGTCGGCCGCCGGACGCCGCGCTGCTACTTACCACGGATTAATATAAAAGGCCAAAAGATAGTCAGTCCAAAGGCAGGATGGCAGAAGCGTGAGGAACGCAAAGAGACTCCTGCGCCTGAAGCCCACAGAAAGCAAAAGACATAAAAAAAGACCAAGGGCAAAAAGTTGGGGACAAAACATGGTGCTCCATTAGTAATAGTGACACACACAGATGATTGAGCATATTTCATTAGTGTCTGACAGGTTAATGATCGCGTCATGCAGTCAGTGTCTTTGGCATCTTCATGATGTGTGAATCTGTGATTGCTAACGCCGGACATTAACACCGAAACACACCGAAATCACAAATCAACCCAGACCCTCTCTGCTTCTAATGCATCGATCACGAAGCCGATGCAAAACCTCAGCGTCTTTATCATTTTCCAGAACAAACATCTAAACATTCTGAAAGCATGATACAGTTGTTCGAAGACTTAAAATATGGTTTAAGGAAAAATGCATCAAAACGAAGCGAGTTTTTGCATGAAACGAGAACAAATATGTGCCAGTGGGGTCAGAAATATCACTTTTCATCATTTTTCTGACCTCACTGGCACATATTTGTTCTCGTTTTAAGCAAAAACTCGATACATTTCTCAGAAAACATGAATTAATATCATCCCTACAAATCTAAAACTCTTTGCTATTCTAAAAAACAGCTTACTCGAAGTCAGTTCTACTGAACTGAATTTTAATAATCTTAAATTTTTTAAAATCATTTTATTTATATATTAGTTTATAATAAATATGTATTAATATAATGATGTAGATCTCTCTCTCTATATATATATATATTTGTATATGAATTTTATAAACAATTATACTTTGATAATTTTAAATTTTTATTATATTTACATTTTAAAATAATTTTATTATGTATTAATTTAGAATTAGTATACATATTAGATATTTCTTTTTCTGTTTATATATATATATATATTATAATTTGTATAATTTATATTTCATAAATGCATCATTTTTATGAGCTCAATTATACTGACCTGAACTATAATTAAGCTTTAAATACATTTGATTATTTTTTCTTTTTTTTTAAAATAATTGTATTTACATATTAATTTATATGATATATATTTATAATAATAAATAATGCTTTTAAATTAATAATTAATATTTTTCCCGCTCTCTCTCTCTCTCTCTCTATACATATAATTTATATAATTTATATTTTAGAAATGAATACATTTTATAAACTTAATTTTACTGAACTGAATTTTAAATTAAAAATAGGACACAGTCATGTTTCCGTTGCTTCACGAGTCGTGCTCTAAACATCTCAGCAGAAAGTGACAGAACAAACATCATTTGACTTCATTACCAGGCCAAAATCTGCCTTTACTGACCCTCTTTAAGCTCTTATATTAATCGTGTGTGTGTGAGCGACGGCTGTGATCACAAACATCACAACCGATGCTTCTGGAGTCGACACCAACAATTACACGCTCACTTCCTGTGTGTGTGTGTGTGTGTGTGTGTGTGTGTGTGAGTGTGTGTGAGTGTGTGTGTGTGTGTGTGTGTGTGTGTGTGTGTGTGTGTGTGTTTGATTGACAACGAGAAACACAGGAGCTCCTACCAGTTATACGGCAGCTTCCCGTCTCGCTCGAAAGAGGCGAAATTCACGAAGGTTTCAGCGCCGCACTCCCTGAAATCGACAGAAAGCTCAGAAAATTGACTTAAAAGTAGCACTAGTTTCATCAATCCAAACTGGCTTGCTGAATGCTGAAAATTCAGCTTTGATCACAGAAATAAATTGCATCTTAAAATATATTAAAATTGAAAGCAGTTATTTTAAATAATAAAAATATTTCACAATTTTACTGTTTTTGCTGTACTTTGGATCAAATAAATGCAGGCTTGGTGAGCAGAAGAGACTTCTTTAATACGGTTCAGAAACTTTGGACTGGTGGTGTATTTTCATCCATCAGTCTGATCACTAACGGGCTGAGAAGCTCGTTAGCATGAGATGTTGCTCACCGGCTCAGCTCCATGTGTTTCTTGCGCAGCACCAGAAGGAAGAGCACCAGCAGAATGATGAGCAGAACGCTGAGAACCGCCAGCGCCGAGATCGCCGCCACACTCGGGTTCATCTCGCGCACTGCACACACACACACACACACACACACACACACACTACTGCTACATTCACTGTCTCCGAATAAAACAAACACTTCAGTTTATATCTTCCAATTCTGGCTTTTTTCTTGCAATTCTGACTTTTCTCGCAATCATGACTTTATTTCTAATATAATTGTGATTTTATTTCGCAAAATTGTAAGCTTATATCTTGCAATTCTGACTTCTCACAATTCTGACTTTTCTCGCAATCATGACTAAATATTATAAATACTATAACCATATTTTCGCTGTTTTCATTTACAGTAGCAACCATGTAACTGTAAAGTAAAACTAATTCTGCTGTCGTGACTGTCAGTGAGGGATGGAAGCGTTTGCTCACCGGTCGTGCTGACGGTGATGTACGCCGGGTCACTGACGCTGCTGTAGCTGCTGCTGATCACGGTACAGTTATATGAAGTGGACGGCTGGAGTCCGGATACGGTCACAACATGAGCGGCGGTCAGCAGCGGCTCTCGTACCTTCTGCAGCAAAACAAACGCACACATAATAAACCAGTTGTTCATTCACGGTTCTGCTGTGTTCCTACTCTTTCCCTTCCAAACACAGAATTTTCCGTGTTTCCGCTGTTATACGCTAGGGGGCGCTATTATGTATCTCCTGAATGAGTCTAGAGTCACTCGATCAAAAACACAGGCGAGGAAGACGCAGAAACCAGCGATCTCAGATGTAAGCGCATGCATATGAAAAATAATGCGATCATCAACACTAACCGCGTATAAATGAAAACTGCCTGATGTTAGCGAGTGAAATGTGGATCCAGAAAGTGTGCAAGCTTTGCTGATGGAAGCCATCTCCTGCTCAACTAACAACTATTAGTAAATCCTGTAACAAATGTCTTGCTCATTGTTAATGTTAATTAATTAATGCATTAACTAACAATGAAAAACACTTCTAAAGCATTTATTATTGATGTTAACCTTAACATTTATTCATAAATTATTAAAATCAAACCAATATCAATATTATTTAACTGAGCTAACACCAGCTAATTAACAATTAACCATTTAAAGATTAATTAAACAGATTAATAAATGCTGTAACAAATGTATTGCTCGTTTTTAACATTAGTTTGCATTGCATTAACGAATGTTAACATGCATCATGAATTACTATTTGTTAATATTAGCTATTGCATTAACTAACATGAATGAACAACGAGCAACTGATTTTAATTTGTCAATGTGTTCATAAAAATTATGTTTATGATGTTTAATGTTCATGTTAATCCTCAGTGTATTACCTAATGTTCTGTAAAGGTCCTGCTTATTATCAGTGCAATGTAGTTAACAAATGAACAAAGAGAACAGAAGAGTTCTCCTGTTTTTATCATCGAACACAAAACCATTAAAGGGGTCATATGATGCTTTTTTAAAGATCATTATTTTGTGTATTTGGTGTAACAGAATATGTTGACATGCTTTAATGTTCAAAAAACACATTATTGTTCAAATACTGTACATTATTGTAGGTCCTCTATGCCCCGCCTCTCTCAAACGCTTCGTTTTCTACAAAGTCCCTCCTTCTGACAAGCGCAGTCTGCTCTGATTGGCCAGCTGGCCCAGTGCATTGTGATTGGCCGAACACCGCAAGCACTCGTCGGAAATGTAACGCCCCTTACCATAATCACCAGCTTCATCTTTCAAAATAAATGTAAAGACAGTAAATAATGTCATTAGTTTTACCTTCAGTTCAAGCCCGAAAGGGGAACAGACACAGTAATGATGCAGTACACAAGCCGCGGTTAAGACAGCTGACACTACTGTGATGTGACGGTTTTAGGAGGGCGTGGCAGAGTCTTAACTTTGATAAAGAATATCTCTTTGGTTTTGAGACTTTAGTCTTTGCAACTTCAGGGATCTTATCTATGCACAATCAGCTTGTAACACTCCAAAGAGAAAGAACAACTTGAAATCGCATCATATGAGCCCTTTAAGAAACTGCATCACAATCTGCATCTCCAGATGTTTGCACACACATGTGTGGTTATGATATTGATCAGTAGCTCTTACTTTGCTCTCTCTGTTGACTCGCAGCGGTCTGCAGACGATCTGGTAGAAGTCCACGACGCCGTCCTCCTCTCGGTGCAGGCGGAGACGGTCAGGTTGTAGATGTCTCCGGGAGGAAGAGTCAGAGATGCCTTCATCATGTTGCGAGTCACCTGTAACACAGTCATCAGACGCAGTGATGATTCAGATCCCATAGCAACCATCTCCATGGAGACACCGAACATTTACACATGTTTTTTTTAACCCTCTGTCACTTGCACTCTCTATTTGTTTTCTAACTGCTTGTTTTCCCCCCCCAAAAAAACTCTAACACTAGCTTTCTATATTTTTTTTCTATTCTATCTACTTGTTTCCTTTGCATGTGTGTGAGTGATTGTGAAAGTGAGAGTGCGTGCGTGTGTGTGTGTGTGTGTGTGTGTGTGAGTGAGTGTGTGTGTGT